TGCAGTTTAACGAGATTTATCCGTCCTTATCTGGTGATATCGACCAACTAATCTATTCCTTATTCACTTTTTTACGAAATAAAAGTCCCCCTATTCAATAAAAGATCTCGTTTTCTCATCTAATTGCATCTAACTTTTATCCTACTGTGTTCCGAAGTTGGACGAGTTCCACTCAGAGTAAGCCTAGCGCTACTCTGCACAAGTTGGCCTTTTTTTACTGACGTCTGTGCTCAGGCCTATTAATATTTTGATTGTCTGGCCTGTTTGAGGTTGCCATTTACAGTGTCATGACTGAATTATGTTGATGTAGAGATCTGTCTGTGTTGAACCTTTGTTAATTTCAGAAAGGAAGATTTCTGACATTGCTTAGGCAAGTTACCCGGGTTATTTACAATCTCATGATTGTATCTTCTCGCTATTGCTGTAAGCTGAGAGTGGTTTCTCTTGCTTTGATTAACCTTTATTAACCTTTGGCCTAGATTCATCGTTTCTGAGGCATACTTTTTGTTTCTTAATCCGCATCATTGGTTCGATTTCGTTAGCAGCGATAGCCATGCCTTGGCTAGATTGAAAGTACGGTAAATTTGGGATTAGAACAGTCATTGAGAAATCAAGTATCCTCTTTAATCATTCATTTTCTGTCGTGCTATTATTTCTCCCAAGTAAGGAAATACTTTTGGAATAGCCCTATTCGTGCGCTTAATAGGCTAAATTTTTTCTTATTATTCTCTTTCGGTTTGGATTTAATGATTTCCCAATAGCAATCTGGGTCACTTGATAGCTGCTACCAGAATGGCTAATAGCTTCGTTACACGCGTTTCTATCTTGCTGGCAAAAACGATTGGCCGATCCAGCTTTATATCTTCTCCCTAGGTTTATTTTGACGACCATTTACTTACATTTATGCTCCAGCCGCAATCCTATAGCATTCTATTACCCTTTTCTTCTCTTCTCCATACCGCGCTAGTTAACGATGCCATGGAGCGAACTAATACGCACTTCAGTGACGGTTCCAGTTGCCTCCTGGGAGTGGGAATATTTGTCCAAGGCTTATTCGACCCCCTCTGCCGGTTCAAATGAAGATTCAATTGCCGAAAAGGCCAAGTTTCAAACCGAGTGGCTAACGAAATTGGTGGTAAACTCAGGCCCCTCATCCCCATGCGGCCCATTGGTAGACACGGACGTGCAGTAAGCTTTTGTAGGGCTCCCGTTCCTTAGCTAGCATACAATCTCTGCTTCCACTTTTCAATTAATGCGAACATCTTTCTCCCTTTGTATTTTCTACTGTAATTAAGATTCCAAAGAACTAAAATGATTCCGAAATAACTTTTCTATTTGATGCGAATATTTTTATTAGTCTGGTTACAAATAAAAATAAGACAGTATCCTGAAATGTATGTAAACATACTTGTTTTTGAAGATTACTAGTTCAAGAGTCAGAGTTTATGGTATTATAGCCTATGCAAATAGATTCTTCTTGGATATCTCCTTAAGAAAACGATTTTGTGTATCCCAATCCTTCCTTATGGGTCATTCTAAATGCTCCATCATTTTGTATATTCACCAGTCATCGGTTTTACTTTTTCTGGTGATATTTCGCTTGAACTTTTATCTGCTGGCCTAAAATATCTGTGCTCTGCAATATTCTCCAGTGCGAAACCTTTTATATTTGTGTAGCTAAACGAGATGCTCATCCATTGTGGTTACATTCGTACATTAATCCCAGCATGATTTTTGCCCACCCATTATGCGACGAGGCGCTCAAATGCGTCTGAGCATTTGATTTTTTATTTGCTATAAGACTTGGCATATCCTGTCGTGTATACGTGGCGAGAAGTCGTGCACGAAGGTGAAATGAAGAAAAGTTGTAGAGTTTTGTGAGAGCGATGATAATAAATAGTTATTGCTGGTTCATATTTATTGGTGAAACGTGATGCAATCAATGGTAAACTTCTTGAAAATAATAGCCCACATACAGCCTAGTTGAGCCAAGTTGACAGTGTGTGGAAGCTATCACAGTTTCAAATGTGCACGCCATGTGGCTTGGCGAGTCGATCAATGTGAGTGGAAGATTTCATGTTGTAATTGTGCTGAGTAAGTCCATTTCTTC